GGGCTTTGCCCTTCGAGTGGGGAGTGGCAGTGAAGGGAAGACTTTGCTGGAACTGGGCTTCATGGGCTGGTAGCTTCCCTAACTCTGTCAACAAACCATTAAACTAAAACAGAAAACTAGGCCAGTGGTAACATTCTCCTCTCCTTTCACTTGATGGTCTCTTCGCTTAGTGCTTTTCTAAATAAACATCCCCTCTGAGTTTATGCTCAAATCAGACACTCATATTTGTTCAGGATTTATTCATGTTTATACTGGAGATATGGCTACTACCTGAAAATACAGCACACAGGGGGCATTTAACTTGAAGTCACATGGAAACAGGCTGTGACAGCAAAAGGCCAGCCCACAGAACCTCTGGTAAAATGTTCAATAAATACATAATAAAATACCTTGTCTATATTTGATGTTGTATATATATAATTATGTCTATGGTTTGTATTTTATGTGACATAATGAATGGTAATCACATATAATATGTATTAATTTTTACCAAATATGTGAAATAAAATATTAGTTCCAAATCCACTAAAAGAAATAACATTAAAGACCATTGTCAAGAACCAAGGAAACACTGCCAATAATTTTACACTAAGATTTAAGTTCTGAGGCTACAGGCCTTGTCTACAAAAAGCTAGGGACAAGATGACAGGATGCACTATCAACATTTAAACTGGAACTTGCCCAGCAGGGATATCTTTTCAGGTTTTGCTCTTCTCATTCCACAGTTTATATCTGACCACAGCAACAGGTGTATGGAAAGGGAAACGTGATCCAAAGGGCAAAGGCCACTTCCTCCTTCTGTCTTACGCTCTGGCTTGACTGGCAATGTGATTACAGGGCCCCTGGCATGTGCACTTGGGCAGCTCACAGCAGCTGTCCTGAAACTTGGCCACACATAGCTCTTTGGCAGGTGTTTGGCTCTGTGTTTCTGCAATGCCCAGCCTGGCCCAGCCATTAGCAGGAGAATCCAAGGACAATATTCCCAAAGCGTACTAGGCAGTATTTTGGCACCTACTACAGGATGGATAAACAGTGGATCACAATGCCTTCTTCTATTTCACAGGCTAGAGGGGAAAACAAATATTCAGTACTCCCAAAACAAATGTAAATTATAAAATATGAAAAAAATAAAAGGTCTGAAAAGAACAGCCGTGAGAATATAATCTCAACTAGAAAGATCTGGAAAAGCTTTTCTAAAAAACGGACAGGGAACCTTAGCCCTGAAAGCAGAGACAATGAAACCATGGAGTGTGGAGAAGGAAATCCCAGGCAGGAGAAACAGTGTCTGTGAAGGACCAAGGGTGATGGGATGGGATTGAGGATGGATCTTAGAACAAATAAAAAGAAGGCCAAGGCAAGGATGGTGTGAAGTATGGGAAAGGTGGTGACAGAAAGACTAGTGACAGATTACAGCTGGGAATTTAGATTTACATAGGGTACAATGGGGCACAATCCAGAGTGTTATACTGAAAGATTTCTATTCTCTAATTTGTTTTCTTTCTTTCTTCTTCCCCTTTTTTTTAAAATCACCATGTTTCATTTGCTGCAAATAGACTGGAGGGGAAACATTGAAAAAGGACTAAAGAAGAGACCTCAATGATTTAGGAAAGAATGCAGTTAGTGGACATGTGAAAACACTGAGGTAATTGAGATGTACTTTGGTAATCAGCTGTATGTGATGGAGAAAAGAAGTGTCAAGATCAATTTCTAGATTTCTGTTTGAACCCATCGGAGGGCAGAGATGCAATTTCCTAGACTGAGAAAACTGGACCATGACCAGTTTGGGGCAGGTTGTTGTGGAAGGCAAGCAGAAAGTCAAGATCAGACTTTAGCTATGGATGCGTTCAATGGGAAATAACTGTGCGGTGTCTTGAGTGGAGATGTCAGGGGACTGCAGGATGAGTCAGAAGTTCAGAAAAGCATCATGAGCTAGAGACATGTGTATGATCAGAGAGAGAAGAGTAATAGAAGGAAAACCATAAGAGGGTGATGCACAGAGCAAAGATGAGGAGGAGGGAGAAAGAGCCGAGAATAGGAGCTGTCCTCTCTAGTGAATGCTGCTCAGGAGTATGATCACAAGAGAACTGAAAAGCAACCAGTCGCCTGGGAAGCACTGAGGGCTTCCATAGTCATAAAATGAGAAAACTATTGGATTAGTGGAGGTTTAAGCCAACTGCAATGAAAAGAAAGGTTAATTTGGAAATGAAGGAGAAGAGAGACAGTGTACCCATAAAATTGTTTGAAAAGTTTATCTATGGCAAAAAGGGGAGAGATAGGTAGAAATTTATTTTCATATTATAGGGTAGTAGCTCATTTTTAAATGACCATAATTTTTTAAATGATACTGGTGGCATGACAACATCAAAGTGCAACAAACTCGCAGGGTTTGTGCACAAGGACTGATTGAAGGCTTGAGAAAGTGGGATGGGATGGCACTCCTAGCACATCCATAAGGACTGATCTTTGATGAGAGGAGAGCACCTTCCTTGGTAGTGAGAAGACTGGATGCTTCCAATTTCTCACTGAAGCAGGTGGTGAGATCATTTCTAAGCCAGTGGGAGGAAAATGGGCCAGAGATTTGAAGAAAGTGAAGGTACAAAATAGCTATGTCATAAAATGGCAGAACAAGCTTATGTGAGAATCATAACCATGCTGCCAAGCAGTGCTGAGTCTCCATTTAAGACTGTTTTTCAAGAACAGTGTGACATCATCTAGCCCAGCCTTTGTTTCCACTCCCCTCATCACTTTCTGGAGCCCCTTACCCAAAGCCAGTTTCTACCATTTTTCACACTATGTGATGACAGACAATAATAATTCCACCTGCTGAGACCATCTAATCCCCCAACAGCTGCATGAGCGGGTACTATACTTTAGGCCCCTGCAGTCCCCTTTCCTTGCATAGCTTCTGCCAAGCCACCAAAACAAAACAGAAGGGATGGGGGTTGCTTCTTCGCCTGTTTCTGCTTATGTTCCTGGAGTTCTTCTCTACCTTGGGTCGGGAAAACATGGCAGTTTCCTCAGGAAGTGAGATTTAGCATTGACTCAACTTGCTTCACTTTTTTGCAGAATTGATACTCGTGATGGACAAATAGAATTTGTAGGCTGTGCCATTAGTGAGCTATACAGAGTCAAATAACTAGATGCGCAAGGCAGAGGATTCGCAGGGAGCTCGATACCTCATTCCTATGTCCCACAAACTTTTCAACATGACATAAACAGTAATACTTTACAGTAGCAGTCCTTAAGTAGTATTCACTAATATATGGTGTTAATGCCACAGTATGAATACTAATGCTATAACACTATAGTATTGATATAATGCTATAGTATGGCTAATTTACTAATACTACTGTATTAGTAAATACTCCTTGAATTAAGCAATACTGTTGTAAACTAATAAATGCCCAAACAAGATATCTGATGCCTCCATCAAAAGTTTCTAGCTATATTGCTGGACACGTTGGCACATGCCTGTAATCCCAGTAACTTGGGAGGCTGAGGCAGGAGGATTGTGAGTTCAAAGCCAGCCTCAGCAAGAGCAAGTCACTAAGCAACTCAGTGAGACCCTGTCTCTAAACAAAATACAAAATAGGGCTGGGGATGTGGGTCAGTGGTTGAGTGCCCCTGAGTTCAATCCCCAATACTCCACCCTTCACAAAATGTTTCTGACTATATCAATGCAGAGACTGAAAAACATAAGCTATTAAATGAATCCCACTGCACTGCAGATTTAGAAAACCAATCCTTTGACTCACTGTGAGCTTCTAAAGAAAAACATACTGACTACTCAAATAGATTTTTTACTATTTCAAAGGCTGGAGGTAGAAAGAGCACACATGAAGTTTAATATGATGGATTGGAAGTCCAGCATGAGGAAGTAACCTCTTGAGCTAAAGCCGACCCCACAAAGTTTAATGTGAAGCTGTGCAGTGTAATTTTGACACGTAGGCAACCCAAAAATTGATGTGTAGCTTTTAACGCAACTTCCATTTCTGACAATATCATTTTGAGCTCATTCTTTGGCACCAAGATCAAATGCCCTTATTTATAGGCTCAAACACATAAGAGCCTAAAAAGGAAGTCACATTCAGCAGAAATTCTTTCCACACATGACCATTAGTATTTACTCAAATAGGAACATTTTACTTTTTCTCAGCTTAGTAGAGAACATGATGGGTAAGAAAAAATATGCTAAAGCTCATTTGCTTTTTATTTTCTAAAATCAAAATTTTATTTTTAATATCAGGTTTAGTTAGCTGTAGCTAAATCATAATGAAAGAAATTTATAATATTCTCAGAGGGAAGGAAAAATTAAAACAGACAAATCAACATCTAGAATTCTAAAATCTGCAGGTAATTTTCCATATTTCCCCTAGTAGATATCAGCTAACATACAGGTTTGTGGCCCGAAATATATACATAAGACCTCATCCAAGCTAAGTGTCACTTATGTCTCATAGACAATTTTCACTTGGCAGTGTGTGAGAACCCCCCGAAAACTTCAACATATTTTTCAAAGAGCAGTGCACTTGCATTGGAGATAATAGCAAGGCAAGACAGGTAAGATGAATGGCTCCCATTTACCTTTTTAATAGAAAGAAAAATAAAAAAAAGAGGCAACCTTATTTGAATATGCCAAAGCCTACCTTACAGGGCAACAGTGATTAAGGAAAAAAAAAAGTTCATTATACTTAAAAAAAAAAGGAAAAAATTCTTCTAAAAATGAAACAAAAAAGCTGATGGAAAAGTAAAAAGCAACTCACCTCAAACAGAATGAGCTGCCACAAAATATCAGATTGCAAATCATATGGGCTCTACTTTCTCTGCCTCACCTGCCCAGTACCTGACAGTATTGTGACAATATGAGATCTAGAACTTTTCTATGGTGCTACTATCTCCAGGAACATGACACACAAATCCAAGAATATGGTAATTCCATTTAGCATTTAAATTCACAGCTTTAACCATAAGAATTGCATTCAAATATAATTTTCTTTTACCTTGGTCTTTTCACCAACAATGTTCTTTTCCAGTTCTGCTATTTTCCGGTTTAGGTGATCCAAAATCTCCTTCTCCTTCATAAGTTCAGTTGTTTCAGATTTCTGCTCTCCATCCAAAAGAGCACATTCCATATCCAACTAAGGACATAAAACAAAACTCAGAAACATTTCACCTTCAGGAATATTCTCAACTGCCCACTGCATTGGCGCAGTTTAATAGATAATAATGTAAAAAAGTACTACCATATCAGCCAGATTGGGGGACACAGAGAGCACTCCAAAGAGCCCATGTGAGACTCAGGATTTTCTATATAAGAAAACTGGAGAGCCCAGAGTGTATTTGCTAAGAAATTTAGCCATCTTGTCACTTAACTTTTCTAGTACAACCCCCTTTCTGCTTACTTTTCAGAGATATTTTGCTATTTACTTAGATTCAAACACAATCCACATTGGAAATAGCCTTGTCACAAACCACATGGAGAACAGCCTTGTCTTTGTCCTTAGGGCACAAGGAGTGAAAGTTACTCCAGCCCAGCACTTGGGCTCTGCATTCCTAGCAATTCTGGCAGGAGGGGCTTCCAGGGTCTATGCACAAGATGACAGGTGAACAGTCCCCTTATTCCTCTATGGGGCTATTGACACCATCTGTAAGTGCAGACATGCAGATCCTCACCAGGAATAATTATGTGCTCTCACTCCATGACAGAAACATAAAATTGCCACTATCTTCTATTAGAGTTACAGAATATGTGCTATCTGCTCCCTGTTTCACAAATCTCTAGAAAGCTGGGTTTATGTCTAATTCATGTGTGGAACTGCCCTGTAGTGATAATGTGATATCTAACTCATAGTAATATGCTCAGAAAAATATTGCTTAGATTTGAAGCTGAATACCTAAATATAGGGTACTTCAGCTAACAGATTCTGTGATCAGACACACATAATACTAGTTAAGAGAAAGTTGGCTTAAAGCTCATTAAAGATGGCTTAATATGTTTTTTTTCTCATCTGATTAAGAAAAAAAAAAACAGAAAGAAAATAAAGGAATGTAGAATAGGGCACTTTTGCTCTACACATGGTACCCATTGAACAGATGCCTGCTTGTGTTGACCTCTATGTATTTGGCCTCTGAGAACTGTGTCTTAGTGAGCAGAAATGTTTTTAAACTACAAGGGAAAAAATGAGAGGGTGAGCTCATAGTTTATACCTCTCTGGAGGATTCATCCATCTGGTCATTTATATCTTTGATTTTTTGTTCAAGTTCTTCAAGGTTGTTCAGAATTGTGATTCTGGCATCTTCCATTGCGGCTAACTCCTGAGTCCTCTGTTCTTCGCTTATCCCTTCTGGGGTCTGAAATTAATCAACACAGAAATGGGTTTCTCACACCATAATTTCCTGATTTGACTAACAAGTCAGCTGTAGATCTATTGTCTCACAACCTCCATGACCATGCAGATACTCAAAGCATCCCTGGAACAGTTTAATCTGAACTCTAATACATTTTCCCATAGAGGTATGCTATCCTCAGCAGCTATGTCCTCAGATAAGCTCGAATAAACCAACCTCAATGCACAAATCCATATTATTTTAAAGCTAAAATAACTAAGTGGTTAAAAAGATAAGGAAGCTGTGGTATAGACAGATTGAAATGGTTTCTGCAATGTTACAGAGAAAATTTGGCACAACAGAGAACTAGAACTAAGACAGGACTGTAGACATCTTCCTCTGGGACCTCTCAAGCATGCTGCCACCTTCATTGCAAGCTCAATGTTTTCTCTCATCTCCTATGGAAGCCTCTTGAATTTCTATCCAAACTGTGATGTCACTGCTAGGGTTATCTGCAAATGAGTATTCATGCTTTTTTATTTCGTTTTCCGTGCAAGGTAGGAAAACAAGGGCACATCATTTTGGCAATTCTCCAAATGATTAGAACTACACATTCAATGATGCCAGTTGATATTTTGCTTTTTGTTACAGCACTATTTGCTATCTTTGTTCTACAGAACTTCTTTTAGATAATGTTTAAGACACTACCTGGATACAGTGGGTTTTATGACTGAAAATAGGACACTGGTGACCATTCATTTATTTCATAAAATACTGAGTTCCTTGGCAAGGAATGAGAAACCCAACCAACAAATTAAGTGAATGAGGGCATACGTATAGCCTTGAGCAAAGTTAATGACAAAAACTCAAAGAAGAAAGGAATATTATGGATCATAACACACAGCTCAAATATGACTGCCTATTGTTTGAGAAGAGAACGTAGTAAAGTAAAAAGAGCCTCTTCTTCCTAGAATTTCAGGTTAACAATCTTGGGTATCACCTGGTGGTGTCTTTCAGACATGCCAATATGTCAATACCATGTATTTAATTCTTATCTTTCTTTGAAAAAGAAAGAATATTTTGAATAAATAAGACAGTAATTAGGCAATTTTACAATTAAAGATTGAAAACAGCAACCCAATTAATGAATGAAGATTAATTAATCCCTAATCCTTAAAAAGAATATTCAGATAAACCAAAATAACTGTTGAAATTTACTTATACCTCACTAGGTTTATTTAACTTATTTATCAATTCTGATAACTTTAAGAAAACATTCCATCATGTCGTATTTAATGTGTTCTTTACTCATATTCTTTTTTCTTTACTTTGTAGCTACTTAAATAATAGAGATTAAATAATAGAGCACCCAATATCTCAGGGTGGTTAGAACAAGGGAACCCGGTTTTTCCAAGCTTTGACATTTTGCTGGGTTTAATTGTCACTCAAGTCCAATATTTTATCAAATAAAACAACTGCTGACCTTTTTATCACAAACAATGGAGCTCATTGTCTTAATACTTGGGCGCTTATTTCAGGCCATGAGGAATGCCTGCCACAGTGAATGGCATTCCAGAATCACTGACAGACATCCCAGCAGGAAAGCTCAGGAAGGCTAACATCCTGTTGGGTCAACATTACATATTAGGTTTCCACTTCCAAGGCAGTTTAAAAATATCTCTCTCAGTGGTGGAAGCAAAGCATTAAGAAAAGACAAAACAACTTAACAATCTGCAAAGGATAAACTTTATAAGTAAGTAGGGGGATGAAGATAATAAAGAGCAGCCATGATGGGTATTTGCACATAACTCAAAAATTTTTAGAAATTTGAAGTTGCTAAAACAATAAAAGCTATTTATAGAAATACATGGCATCTAGGAAATATCTGTGATATTTTTTTTTTTTGCTATGTATAAGAAGAAAAATCAAAAGGCATTCTAAGACAGAATGTTTGTGATAGAATGAGGTGAAAACATTGTAATCTTATTAATTAATCAAATAAAGAAACCCTATAGAGAGCCAAGGTGCAGCAGCCAATGAATTGTGTCTTTTATGGTGACCAAAAAAAAAAAGTGAAAATGTAAATGTAAGTTCATTTTAACTTCTTTGGGATTTTTTTTATAGTAATGGATAGAAAACACTGATATAGTGACATTTTTAATAAGCACATTACACATACATATGCATCCTCAAATATGCCATCTCTGAGGTAATCTAATCCACAAAGAGAAAGGTGAGAGATAGTAGGGACAAGATATTTTCCACTTGTCCTTTTTTTGGCAGATATCTTGTTAGAACCCTCTTGCAACCAAAGGAGTTGGGGGTGCAGAACTTTCTACCATAGATGGAACAACTGGTCAGAAAGAGGAGGTGGGAGCTACTCCATTCAGCTTTTGGTTCAGGTGGTGGTTGGCAGGTTCACAATGGCCCTTTAAACGTAGCATATTTCCAACTCCTGTGCATAGTTAAGTGTTAGGTAAAGTAAGTTCCAGAATGCTGAATCTCAGGCTTCATTAATAATGTTAAAATCTTCATTTAGTTAAATAAATTTAGAGTGGCTTTCATATTCCTCCCTTCCACATTTATTCCTGAATTGATTATAATGAATATTATATACTTCGTTAAGCAAATAATCCAGTGAAAAGATTACCAGAAGAAGAATATTCAAAACAAATGGTCAGGGTTTTTCATTTGTTTTGAGTCTTTTATCTTTTTTCTTGAGTTAATACGTGCCTCCCTGTCTTTGAAAAGTAGTAAGTGAAAACTCTTTCCTTTAGACCTATCAGCCTCTCACTTGCATTATAAGCTGCTGCAGGGTAACCTGAGGTGCCCCTGAAGTTTCCTGTCTCTAAAGGAAGCAGGACTTATGTCTCTTGTAACAATGGATGCTGCTCTAAGCTTCAGAGGCCTCCTATTCCACAGGAGTATATTTGAGAAATTAAAAACATCTGCCAGGATCTGCCTGTTTACACATCAACAGCTTTCTTGTCAAAGCCTTCTCCAGAAGGAAACCTGTCTCCCAAAGCAATTTCCAAGAGAGCACACAGCTCAATGTTTTTAACAAAATAGAGCAGATGTCCATCAAGGGAGAGATGTAGAAAAATTTAAGATGAAAAGTAAGTCACAGATTTCTAAGGAAGCCCAATGGCTGACGACAACAGATCAGATTTTTCAACTGGGTCAAATACTTAGCCTGAACAACTGACAACTTTTGATTCTTCCATGTTCCATTCTTCTCCCCATCCTAAATTTCTAACAGTTTTAACTTTCTAGCAATAAAGATAGATGTCCTATTCAGGATTTCTCTCAACTCAGAATTAGTAAGGTAAATACAGTCATTCAAAGAAGGGATTGAAGTCCAACTGGATTTAATGGTCCAGAGTCCTAATGTATGTGATAGGAGGACTTGGCAGGCAGATAAGGACTTCTGACCAGGAACATCCAAGATAAGTCTTGCTGAAGTCAAACAAAAATGAAGAACAAACATACAAACTCCAGAGCCCCACAGACCCAGTGTGGAGCCCAGGCAGGACCAGGATAGCCCCATCAACACCCTCAGAGGCTGCATTGCCCCTTTGAACACCCAGTGCCACAGCCCGCACCTCCCCACCCCCGACCTGACACTCCATGGCTGAAAGCAGATGTCTCCATCTTGGGACACCTTCATTGCCATCTTCAGTTGTGGTAACTCCCAGCTTGGAACACTGGCTGGGCAAGTATCCATAGTCCCCAACTCGCCCCTCTCCCTGGAAGCTGCTAACCTGGTATAGTGACTGCGCAAAACAAAACAGCTCTCCGAGACAGGTTTGCAGACCCCTGAGCACAACCCACAAGACCTCCTGGGAGAAAGGTCTTTCATTTAGGAAGTAGAAAGAAAGAGGGTGAGTGAAATACAGTTTAGAGACTAAATTAGAGACTAGGAACTGTGAGGTCTACAGGCGATATAAGGAGATAAGACCAAGCACCCACATCACATGAGCGGGCCCCAAAGGAGATGCTCGAGGTGCAGTCTTTTATCTGGGACCAACTGGTGCCATACCCCACTTCCAGGTGCCCTGTACCCAAGACCAACCCTCCCACCCTGGTAACCTTCAACATCCTGAGGGTGGAGATACCAGCAAACAACAGAAAACACCACCTATTGGAGGAGAAAGGAAGCAGGAAAGATTCTGATATTGAACCAAAACAATCCTTGTTTCTTCTACAGGACTTTTTTTCTTTTTTATCCCTCTCTATTCTCCTGCCCTCACATCCCCAACATTTGTGAAACCAGGTGCTGTGCATGAATTAGGATACTGAGAATGGGGATGTCTGAATAGTATATTATAGTTGTATTGTATATTCTTTTATCTCCTGTTTTTACATTTTTTATTTTTTTAAATATTTATGTGTGTTTTATATATTCTATTGTCTTCCCACTTACTTGTCTCCCCAAGATCACTTCCTCTCTCTTCTCCTGCTACTATCTTCTTCAGATTTCTTTTTCATACGTCCTAAGATCTAATAACTCTATATCCTCACCTCCTACCCCCTCAACATCTTATCCTATACCTCACTCCCGGTTCTTTGTCCACCATCAGAAACTGTAAACCCTTTTGTAAACCTACTGTTATATTGTAGAAATCAATTGAACTCACCACTTCTGTATATTGTGACAAACTGTAAACGCCTTAATAGCAACCATTTGGTTTAAGGTTGTATATTAGGATCATTAACATTGTTCTTCCCCTCGAAGGAGAGGTATTGGAATCTTGCAGGGGCACTATAATCTAAAGTGTAAAAAAAGGTAACACCGCGGATCTGCAGTGCTAGAAGGAAAGACACACAATAACATGAAAAAAACAGGGAAGAAAGTGCCCCAAACAAATCAAGATACTACATTATTAGAATCCATGGCCAGCATAACAGAAGAAATGACAGAGAAGGAGTTCAAGATGTACATAATTAAAATGTTCTGTGAATTAAAGGACGATATAAGAGAGCAAATACAGGCAGTAAAAGGTCATTTAGATGAGAGCTACACAAGTAAGTACAGGAAGCAAAAGATTACTTCAATAAGGAGATGGAGGTTACGGAAAAAAAAAAAAAAAAACAGACAAAAATCCCTGAAATGACAGAAACAATAAACCAAACACACAAACTCCCCTGAATATGACTATGTGATAAACTGCTATCAGAATTTAACACCATGATGTTTCTCTCAAAGAATCAATATGCATCCTTTCCTTACAACAAAAATTCCTGATGTGTCCTTTTCGTTGTTATTGTTCTGTGGTCATAATTGCCAAGAATTCAGAGTGGGACTTAATGGTAAGATTACTTAAGTTAACTAATTAATCCTATTTATTCTTAAATAAACAAATTTACCTTATAATTATGGCATTGTTTTTCCTTTTATTTTGGTGTTCTAATTTTAGTTTAATAAAATATATATCTTTTATTGTAAGCTCCTTCAATTCCTTTTTAGAAAAGAATGGGGAAATTTTTAAATTGTGCAAAAATACTGCTATTACTACTACTACTACTACTACTACTAATAATAATAATAATAATAATAATACCAACGATTACCTTTGAACCCAATTTAGGAAATCCTAAAATTGATAAGACACTTTTAAACCAACTACAATCAGAAAACTAAGTAATAATTATGATTACAAATAAATGTTAAACTCTTACATGCAAAGCAAAACAAACATACAAACAAAAATCCCATAAAGTCAGTGGGATAACCACTCATGGTGATAGCTTAATTTGCCTAATTTGCCTACAATAGCTCTTCTACAATAAAACACAGGACGAAACAATTTTTAATAAGTGGATTGAAAAATACATTAACAATTCAAATGTGAAAATATGCCCTACTGTATGTATAAAGATAAATTTGAATACCTATCAATATGATGAATTGAAAAATTCTGATAATATGCAACTTTGGCCAACGTATGGAGATGAAAGTATGCTTATAAACTATCAGTGACAGTGCCACATGGAAATATAGTTTTTAGAGAGTGTAATTTTGGAAATATTGATTAAAATGAGTGAACCTACAGATGCATTTGCACAGTGTGCAAAAACCAAATATATATATATATATATATATCTGTGGATTTTATTAGCAAACAACTTGGAATAACCCACATGGTATCTTCAAAATATAGAATTCAATTTCACCATTAAAAAAAATGGAATAAGGCTGTGTGTACTAATATGCAAAGATGCCCAGGATATATAGTAATAAGGATAAATGCATACTATCATGGGTGTGCATATGTGTGCCTATGCCTATAATATGTGGTTGTTCGTGAACAGAAAATATTAGGAAGACAGGTGAGACATTTAACTATACTTATCTCTCAGGTGTACAACTGGGAGTGGAGAGGGAGAAACTTCATTCTTCTCATCTGTACTGAACATTTTTTAGAATGTAAATTGGTTACTTATTGTTTACTTATTAGTAAACACTCTAATTTGCTAAACCTTGTTCAGTTGATTATCTTTTACATTGATTTTTCACTGAAAATATTCTGGAAAACGTGTGTGATAAAAATCTCTAGTTTCCAGCCAAAAGCACAGGCATATCCCTAGGCTCTAAATCCTGGTTTCTTTGCTACCCAGCATTACCTTTGGTAAGATACTTAGGTAGGAGGACTCGCTGGAAGCTTTCAGAAAGGCAGACGGGGGTGTTGGGGGAGTCCTGGTGAGGTCGCCAAGCAGTTCATCGTTCCTGATGTTCCTGGGGGCAAGGAAGCTGGCACTGCTCTGACTGAGGCTCCCAAAGCCCGCCAAATCCGCATTGTGGAGAGAGCCCTTCCGGTGACACCTGTATCTTGTGTCAGGGCACACCAGGGCTTCTTCAAACACGGACTCCTCATCGGAGATCTGCAGCTTTTCAAGTTCCCTGTTGATTTTCTGCACATCTGCCACGGTCGTGCCTGTGGACAAGCGACTGTCAGGCTTTGTGTACTCAGCACAGAGACTGAGGATGGTCTCCAGACGCTGTCTCTCCTAGAGCACAGAGAGGAGGGCAAGATCAATGAATTTGTGAGAATGGAGACAACTCCCAATATAAAGGCTATCAACCCACAGACACTTGGCTGGTGCTGACTTTGCATCATCTTTTAAGGATGTATTTAAAGATCAAGATGAAACTGTTTGCAATGCCTGGTTTTGTCCTAGACACTATTCTGGCTGTCCTTGTTCATCTCTATATCCCAGGACTGACTCTAAGTGCATATCTTAGCACTCGGGAAGCCATTTCTTATATGACTAAATCTCTAAATACTCCAAAGATGTTTAAAATCTTCTCTTCCTAACCATGCTTTACCACCTTCTACTTATCTATCTATTATTCACTATTAGACACACAAAGAGAAAAAAAGTACTTTAAAAAAATCTTCTAATTTAAAAGATATATCTCTGTCTTGCCGGGCCCGGCAGTGCACGCCTGTAATCCCAGAGGCTCAGAAGGCTGAGGCAGGAGGATCATAAATTCAAAGCCAGCCTCAGAATCTTAGCAAGGCCCTAAAGCAATTCAGCGAGGCCCTAAAGCAATTCAGAAAGACCCTGTCTCTAAATAAAATATAAAGAAGGGCTGGGCATGTGTCTCAGAGGTTAAGCACCCCCGGGTTCAATCATCAGTACCAAGAAAAAAAAAAAAGATATATCTCTGTCTTCCTAATTTTCTTGAAGTGTTTCAAAATTTGAAAAACTTTTTTATGCCTGGTTATCATGTAAAGATCTTTTCTACTACTTTCTTATGTGAATAATTGAAATTATTTTAAAAGTACAAATGTTGCACTAAAATGACAATTCCACAATAAGTCCAAATAGAGAGATATCAATGTAACTCAAATTCTAAAATCATTAAACATTTGATTCATTGAGCTGGAAAATAAAATGATAGTTCATTTGTTTAAAAAAAATCAACATATAGGCCATTGATGTCTAAAATAGTCCTACGACATGCCCCCTTGACACATGCCTCATGCAGAACAGACATTGATGCTTTTTTATTTTAGGTAGATTAATTACATATTGTGAGCAATGGGAAGCAATTTACTAATTGCCTCTCATAAACCTAGACAGCATTGTTTGGGGTGGGGAACCTCAATGTGTTTACCCTTCACATTAAATCCAATGCTGAAATGAAAAAAAAAAAAAAAGAACCTAAAACAAAGGCTATCTGTTGTGATTATATTTACCACACTGAAGGAAGACTCCAAAAGCGCTCCATATAAAAATACATTCCAAACTGCTGATCAGTAATAAAACAGGAAAATATTAAGCAGCACTAGACAGCTGTTTTCATTCCAATTTTAGCTAATTTGTAAAGTCAAAATTCAGATGCAGTTAGTTCTTTTATTAGTTGAGGTAGTAACAAGTAGAAAAGTCAAATAGGAACAGACCAACTCCCTAGTTACCATTAAACCTATCAATTAAATGACAAGTTAGAAGTCATGTAAGGTATATCTGACTTATATCTACCCTCTAAAGAACCCCCCTGAAAAAGGGGGCAATAGCTTGATCAAAGAGACCTTTAAACTAGTTCCCATAAACTCCCACCTCCCTTTCACTGCCTGAACTTCTGGACTCCAGCTGCAGCTCTGTCCTCATGGCCTCTTCCCAGGGCAGGCACTCATGGCCACACATCCTCAGCCCCAGGCTCTTCAGCACCCTGTCCATCCAGCAACCCTGCTGTTTATTTATCTCTACAGCTGCCACCAGCTGCCAAGCCCTACCCACTTCAGCTTTATGGGGAGGGATTGCCAGGATGCAACCTTCATTGCTTTGTTTTAAACTTCTCCAACAATAAAGAAAATTCTACATGGAAATACGTGAACAACTTGCAAAAGTGTAAGTGGGGAGAGGGACAGGAGCAAAAAGTTATCTTACCCTTTCTCCACAGCATCTGCATTAGAGGCTAATCTCCAAAGAACAGTTCCCTTTCTGGCATTTAGATAATTAAGTTGAAGCACCTAACCTCAGTCTTTAGTAATCTTCATAGATCTTTATATGCATATATTAGTCTTGGCATGAATTACATTCAGGATTATCTAAAAGTTATCAGTTTCCATTGATCCAGTGAAGGCTGCTGTCTTCAAAAGCATGAAAGATACTTCTGCCTAGACTGGAACACATAGCAAAATTCCTCCCACATCCTTCCCCAAATAGTTTCTTTTGCTGCCAGGGCTATTGCTTAACTCCAAAGGGAATAAATGATCCTAGCCTTATGATGAATGCTATTTCAGACAGTGAAACGCAGTATTCAAAGGCTTGTGCACAGGAAGTTTGGTCTACTGGTATGTGTCTCTCTCTATTCTCATCACACCATTCACAGCCAGTCTGTTCAGTCCTGAATCACACACACACACACACACACACACACACACACACACCACAATGCTGCTCACACGTCTAAAAGAAATCCAGGCTGTGCTGAGACACTCTGGCCCCATAAAAACTACACCGAAGAAAAATAAACTGATGTCGAAAAGTACGTCAGAAGAAAGTCTGCAAGGCATTTCAGAAAGCACTTCAGGAAGCCTTTTAAGGAAAACCCGAACAGAAATTACCCTCCTAAGATAATACTCCCTTCAGCCCTCTGGATTCTGGTATCTTATTTCTTCTTATACATCATCTTATTCTGCAGCTGCCACCAGAATAATATCCTTCACTCTGTGACCCAAAAGAAGAGTAATGATTATGGATAAGGACTCTCTGAGAGTCAAAGAGGGCAATGCTAATAATGATGCTGAAATCTCAAACACAGACTGGAATTGCTCTCAGCACTGAGATGCACAGCCTCCTCCCCAAAATTCAACTTTCCTTGAAGCTTCACCTGGAAACCTGCAAATTCAGGAGGCTACCTTCTTTAAATTCTCCAAATCCTACCCAGTTTCCCAAATCATCCATCTACCATTTATTTTTTTTTAAAGCTACCAGTACAAAGACTAAATACCCACCAAATGACCAGAAAACACTGGTGCTAAGGATTTAAGATTAGGTCACTTTGAATCAAATTAGTTAAAATATTAAAAAATTTGTGTTTCCCTTCTCTTCCCTCCATCTTCATATCCCACACATCAAAAAAAGCTTTGAAAGGGATTCAGATGTTTGAAAAAAATACCTAAAAGATATTGCTATTCAATTGTTTTTCTCTTAGAGGTTAAAAAAAATCGTGAACTGGGACTATGTTTTTGGACCTCAGATCTTTCTTTCTTCTTCAGAGGAATGCGTCTGACATTGCCCCCACTGCAGCTACATAGCCATCCACATTCTGCATGCACCCTGTCTCCTATATCCAACACTAGTCCATCTAGGCCTCAGGACTGAATGTACTGAATAAAAAATGAATTATGTCCCAGGAGCTTGGAAGGGTGAGGGAGCAGGATCGGGAGTTCAAAGTCTGCCTCAGCAACAGCGAGGCACTAAGCAACTCAGTGAGATCCTGTCTACAAATAAAATACAAAATAGGGCTGGGGATGTGACTCAGTGGTTGAGTACCCCTAAGTTCAATCCCCAGTACCAAATAATAATAATAATAATAATTATGTAGAGAAACAACTGTTGACACCTAAACACATGTGAAATCTTTATTAAATCATTCTGTTGTATGTTGGGTCACTTATTGCATACAACAAAAGGTTGTAATACTTAGATATAATTAAATTGAAATTAGTTTTTTTTTCTTTTTAAGACATGTACTGTAAGTATGGTTTTACTTTTCTCTTCCGTTAACCCTAGGGATTCAATGTCTCCATAATCTTCTGTTTGACAAAAATTTAAGTTACTTGCTGACTAGTAATGTTCTTGGGATACATAGATTTAAAAAAAAAAACATTAAAAAAGACAAATTTGTTTTCTTATTTTGTATACACCATCAAGTCCTTAACAGGAGGTCCGAATAAGTGATCAGTTACAGAAACAATGGTAACAGTTTATGGAAAACCTATGGATTCACATATGGGGAAACAATACACAAAAATTACAGAAAATAAATTTGAGTTGAGTCCTTAAGGATAAATATAAGTCTTGTGGTATGTTGGGGCAGTGGGTAGGCAGGGCATGTCCTTGAAGGAATCACAGAATCAAGGATACAGAATTGAGGAATGTCATGGTATGCTCAGAAATTAGCAACTAGACTGTAGCTAGAGTGAGGGATTCACCGCTAGGAAGTAGGATGAGGTTCCTACATAGAAATGGGCCACCTGTCTTCCTCTTCAAGGAATTCCAACAGTTCCAAATAAACTTTTGGAAAAGATTCCTAAAATAAATCAATAAGAGTCATAAACCCCAGTTTAAAATGAGTGGCAGAATAAGAAGAGGTAGCAAGTGTGAAGAATTCCCAGGATTTCACTAACACGTGCTGGTATGTTAATCAGGTGGGATAGTCAGGAGGAAAAAGAAGCAATGGCTGAAAATCTTTTATGTGAGTTTATTTGGTTTTATAGTTAAATCCCTGGGGGTAGTAACTGGGGCAAAAAGTCTCTTCTGTTGCCCATCTCCAAATTCAATGTGGACCTCAGACTTGCACTGACCAGTGAAATTTGAGAAGCAGTGTCATTCCTGCATGAACAGTAAGTACATAATTTATTAAATGCCTTGCTTTGCTATGGCAAAGTGACCCTCCAGATGGTGCTGTCTCCATCACCCTGGGTCCCAAGTGAAGAGATGAAATAGAGGGCTCAATCAACCCACACTGGCTATGGAATATAGGGGAGAAATAGATCTATGTTGTAGTAAATCTCCAAGATACATTTTTCTTTTTCCTTTTCCAACAGAAGAAACTCATTATGATTGATAAACTGTGCTTAATTTTAGGCAGAAACCTGGCTCAAAACTTGGAGAGGAAAAACTCAAGGAACCTCTTAAGGAAATCTCAGTTATTTACTATGTCATAAAGAATTCGGTTTCATCCAAACAGAGGCCTGGCCTTTGTCTTTCACTTTTGGAAGGTGACCTAAGTCATAGTGAATTGGAGTCTCTGTCTAGCACAGAGCTGGCTG